CCGTCAGACCTCAACTTTCTGCTGCCGCTTCGTAAATATATATTAAACAGAACGCGAACCTGTTTATTTCATAGCTAATCTTCGTTTAATATTGTTGTCGGGTAGCCCGAACCGGAACCCGTCTATCATCCACTATTTACGATATGAGATCGACACGGACGAGTATAAAAGTACTCAATGTAAAACTCGTCTGACAAAGTTCTGCTCCTCTCGGTTGGAAGGAAATCATCTCTATACACGGCAGTAGTCTAGGCGGAGGCAGGCTCAGCACTAAGTTCACCTTAAGGGCGCCAGTGTAATTGGTAAATGACAGCAGCGTGAGTGAGCCCAAGTTTCAGATGAGATAACAAAACCTATTCATCTTATCCTACTGTGCAATCATGAACGCGACAGTGCGTCACCTGCTTCTCGGTGTTGTGACGCCAGCCTTCCGGTGGGCACTATGCTTCCAGTATAGATAACCCTGATTGTTGAAATTTGAACAAAGACAAGGCAACCAGTTCATGCTCTATTTACCAATCAATTTTCGGCCTTCTAGGCAGATACTTATTTGGACAGTCTTTTATTAATATGCAATGACCAGATGCAGTTGAATAAGAGGTCAAGAAATTGTATGACGTCATTAACTTACGCAAACCTGGTTGCCTTGACTTTGTTCAAATCCTAGCTGTACCCACTAAATCTTGACACCACGCTTTCTAGTAAACCAGAGGCATTGACTGGAATGTACAATTTCCAGGCAAACGATCGCTACTCCTGTGAATGGCTTAGTTGGAAGATGGATCGGTTTGTTTCTTTGCCTACTGGCTACTCGACATTCATGAGCATCAAACAGTGGGAATGATTGTGGGTTCCTGTGTTTGATGTTGGTTGTCAGACGTAAAAAGTACCATTAACAATACCCTGAACGCAGTACCACCATGATCATTGGTAGAAAACACATGTCTATACAAGCTTCTATAGCATTGATTTTATGAAACCCCCAGACACCAAAATAGCAAAAAAATAAAACTGATTTATTCAACGTAAAAATTGTGAACTTACTGGATGCCATAGAAAAGAGGAAAGTACCGGAATCTTTCCGGCCGATCTCTTGTCCATCTGTATCCTTGACATTATTGGATAGGTTCGACTGATCTAACATCCGGTTTTGATCGGGGGAGACGGGCTTAAAACTCGAATCATTTTTGTCATTTTGGAAGGAAGAATCCTGAAAAGGTTTGGTGCACAATCAAAATCAAAAAAATTCCTCCGATAAACATTTTAGTCGAATAAAATTATCATGGCCAACTTCCTGATTCCTGTTTAACGAAGGCTTCTTGATCAGTTATGACAGCAGTCTATTGAGTGCTTTTTGACGGATCACTACTAATACTACTCCAGCAAACATACCACAGTGGCAAGGTAACGCGGTTACGGAAATTTATCAACTCGTGCCGGTTATACCGTGGTGATAGAGCAATAGTGACAGTGAGTAAACATCAAAGTCAAAATTGCTCCGTGCTTTTGCTCTGCTCTGCTTAAAGGCACTCCGGTTCTTAACTTTTCAGAGTACTTAATATCCAAACGCCTCGGCCCCCTCTACATTCTCTAACCGAGTTTCAGAGCACCTGAAATCGGTCTACTACAACTAGGCTACTGGTTGGGTTGCGAATATTTGGATCCTTCCTTTCTGCTGAAAGAAAATGGCTAGTTACCGCGATTAACAAAACCTTGGCCGACTCTAGCAACGGAGATTAAATAAGAAATTGACGACCAAGTTTTATGAACGGCGTATGACGACTTCTTTGTAG